GTGTGTACATGTACGTGTGTGCATATGCGTGTATGCTTGTGTATATGGAGGCCAACAGGCAGCCTTAGATGTCATTCTCAGACACGCCATCCACTTCTTTGGAACAGTCTGTCATTGGTCTGTAGTTCACCAATTAGGGTAGACTGGCTGGCTGACATGCCCTAGAGATCCTTTTGGTTTTGCCTCACTCCTGGGATTACAGATATATGCCACCACACTTAGCCGTTTTATATTAGTTCCAGGTATTAAATTCAAGTCCTTGTGCGTATTACCATCTTAGCCATCTTCCCCAGCCATAAAGTTACTGTTTTTGTATTTTAAAAGATAATCAGGTAGGCTAAGAATGTAGTTCAGCTGGCACAATGCTTCATAACATTCAGAGGGCCCTGCATTTGATTCCAGGTACCTAGCATCAGGAGGTGGAGGCAGGAGGATTAGAAACTCAAGGCCTCCTTGGCTTACATAGCAAGTTCTATGACAGCATAGGGTTACTTTTCTGTTTCTATGACAAAACACCATGACCAAGGCAGTGTATGAGAGAAAGCAATGAGTTTATGCTTTCAGAGGGTCAGAGTCCATGACAGTGGAGTAAGAGCATGGTGGTAGTAACAGCCGGGAGCTTACATCCTGATCCACACGGCGGAGGGGAGAGCATCTGAATGGTACCAGTCTTTTGTAGCCTCGATGCTTTCCCTCTTCTCTAACAGTGCCATACTTCCCAGTCCTTCCCAAACAGCTCACCAAGTTGGGACTAAATATTCAAATATAGGAGCTTATGGGTCCATTCTTATTCAAACCACTAGAGTGGGCTATGTGAGACCATGTCTCAAACAACAAAAACTCCCTCACGCTCCCAAAATTGTGCTTTTAAAAAAAAAAAGAGATGTATTTATTTAATGTATATGAGGGCTCTATCTGTGTGTACATTTGCATGCCAGAAGTGGTCATCAGAACTCATTATATATAGATGGTTGCAAGCCAGTTGCTGAGACTTGAACTCAGGACCTTTGGAAGAGCATCTGGTGCTCTTAACTGTTGAGCTATCTCTCCAGCCCGCAAACCATGCTTTTTGATGTACAACTATTTAACATGACTAGGGAAGACTGAATGGCATAAAATAGATTGTGTAAGCTAGTTACAGTGGCACATGCCGCTAATCGTGTTCAAGGCCATCTTGGACTACGTAATCAGATCCTTCGTCTCAGGAAACAAAAATACAAATATGCAGTACAAATGAACGTAAATGTTCAGGAACTGGGAGCGTAGCTCAGTGTGAGAGTGTACACTTGGCATTTGTGAGGTGTGTTGTCATGGGATTATAATACCAGCACTTGAGAAGGTAAGGTAGGACTGCCAATAGTTTAGGGCCAGCTTGTGCTACATACGAGTACCAGACCAGTCAGGATGACTATAGATAAGGCCCTGCCTTTAACTAAGGTAAAACAACAAAACTAAACAGCATTTGGGTCGGTGTCCTAGCATGGGGTGAGAGGTGGAGAATAGAGGTGGGGGTGGAGAGCAGAGCCAGCAGATCTCTGAGTTCAAGGCCAGCCTAGTCTACATAGCCAATTCCAGACTTGTTGGGACAAGATAGTAAGACCCTTTCTAAAAAAAAAAAAAGTCACTGTGTTGCTAGGATAGCTTTTCAGAAGTTGAATTCATTAAAGGGTATATGTACATTTTAAAGGATATGTAATGGGGGCTAGAGAAATACCTTAGTGGTCAAGACCACTGGACACTCTTCCTGAGAATCCACATGGCTGCTTACAACTCTCTGAAACTCCAGTTCCAGGGACTACAATACCCTCACAGCAATAAACATAAAATAAGAATAGATGGTGGAAGATGCCTTCTATAGACACTATCTGTGAGCAGGTTTCGTATCTCTGTCTGGTCTTACTGTGAGACGGGGTCCCTAAATAGTATAGGCTTGCCCAGTGCTTGCTGTGTAGACCAGGATTTACACCTCCCAGGAGCTGGTGCAGTATGATTGTTTAAGCAAACTAGTACTGTTTTTCTTTTCCTTTTGCTCCCATGAAGATGATGTAATATAATGATCTGCTACCCTCCACCTTATTGAAATAAAGCCATTTCTCCAAATTGATCAGGCAGTTAAAAGGGGCTTTGGGGATTTATCTTGAAATAAATTCTTGCATCTTTGAAGGATGGGAAAAAGTAATTTTGAAGTCTGAATGAAGAAGCCTTTGGAGAACTTTGCTGTGGATGTTGAATATTCTGTGGAAGGAGTGTTTGTAAACTCCTCAAATCTAGCAGAATCAAGACTGAGTGGGAAGAACAAAGGCTAATAAGTAAAACTGAGATTAGTTTATTCATAATGGAAAAAAGTTAAAGCTACAGTTGCCCTTTTTAGCCAATTCCTGGGGAGTACTTATTTATCTACTTTGGATGTGTGCATTCATAAGTATGCAGGTGTGTGTGTGTGTGTGTGTGTGTGTGTGTCTGTGTGTCTGTGTAAGGCCAGGGATCAACTGTAGGTGCCATTCTTAGGACCTGTCCACCTTGTTTTTTGAAGTCTTTTCAAGGACTCAGGGCTCACTGACTGGGCTAGGCAGATGGCCACCGAGCCTTAGGATCCATCTCTCTGTCTCTTTGTGCTGGTGACTTTGTGTTGCTACTGGAGATTGACTCAGGTCCTCTGGACTCATGTGGAATGCACAATACCGACTGAGCCATCCCTCCAGCCCTCACCCCAAGAAAGGCTGGAGTGTTAGAAAGTGGAATAAAACCAAGTAACCAAGTGCTGCAGCTTACTGATGTGCTGCAGTGTATCCTTACATACTTAGTCATGTGCTGCAGTGTATCCTTACATACTTAGTCATGTGCTGCAGTGTATCCTTACATACTTAGTCATGTGCTGCAGTGTGTCCTTACATACTTAGTCATGTGCTGCAGTGT